TGAGCATATAAAGATACACGCACACGTAACTTGAACTGGAAAAACAAATTAAAATTGTTATTTTCATCTTTGTTAGAAAATGCCGCGCCTTTCAAATGTAGAACGTCTACGTGCTATAGGTAGGCTCTACGCTGGTCAGTCTGTGGTCACTGTTGCAAGAGCCTTTAATTGTTCACGCCAGACAATAATTAATCTTAGAATGAGAGTGCTTCAAACTGGAACTATTGCCGACCGCCCAAGGGCGGGGGCGCCACGTGTGACGTCACTCCAGGAAGATCAAGCAATACGATTACGTCATCTTAGAAACAGATTTGTCACTGCAACCTCCACAAGTAGAGATATGTTTGGTGGAAGGGTAACTGCACAAACTGTTCGAAATCGCTTGCAGGCTGCTGGTCTTCGAGCACAGAGGCCCTATAATGGACCAATATTGACACCTCTTCATCGCCGTAACCGACTTGTGTGGGCCACAAGACACATAAGATTTACTCAAAGACAGTGGAATTCGGTTGTCTTTAGTGACGAATCTCGATTCACTTTGAGATTTGCCGATGGCAGGGTCCGAGTGTACCGCAGACGAGGTGAACGTTACGCTTAAGTATGCGTCAGAGAAGTTGACCGATTTGGTGGCGGCAGCGTCATGGTTTGGGGTTCTTTTTGTGCACATGGACGTTCTCCTCTTGTTGTTGTCCAAGGGAACTTAAATGCGGTACAGTACAGGGATCAGATTTTGCAACCTGTTTTTCTTCCGTTTATGCAGAGACATGGGCCTGGACTAAAGTTTCAACAAGACAATGCTCGCCCCCATACAACAATTGCTACCCAGAATTTTTTAAGAAATGCCGGTGTCCAAGTCCTGGATTGGCCGTCGCTTAGCCCCGACCTTAATCCTATTGAACACATCTGGGACGAACTGGGTCGACGTGTTCGTCAGCAAGTGAATCCACCACTGACGTTGCGGGACCTTCAACATGCTCTTGCTAAGCAGTGGCGACGTCTTCCTCGGGTAGTGTTTACTAATGTTCTGAGATCCATGAGAAGACGTTGTGTGGCAGTACGAGACGCTAGAGGAGGCCACAACCGTTACTAAACACTTTATTCCGATTGTTCTCCAAGTCTGTGAATTTCATTTATCAATGTCAAGGACTTTCGGCGAGACGTATTCTTGCATTCTGTTGATGTCAAGGTCGTCTGTGCACAACATAACACTAAAATAGTTGCCTTAAACCAAATATTAAAAATCTAGTCCCAAAAATTCCCGAGTGTCAAGTTTTTAATTTGGCTGAGTATATTTGATATAAAGATTTGATCTGGTTGTTATTTTCTTTGCTTCTATGATCATGTATTTTCACAGCATTACCAATGGACAGTCAAGTCCGGCATTGACTATATATATATGTATATCATTTTTTAATCAATTTTAAGCCCAAGACTTTTGTCAAGGAATTATTTAGAACACACTATGCGACCAGTAGTGCCGTTAGGAGCCTGGTCATACTTATCTAAAAAGATATAGATCTTTATGTGAATAAGTACAATCAATTTTATTTAATGGCGATAGAAAATGTATATATATAATTGGCTTTATATATAGACTAGCAGGATACCCGGCTTCGCTCGGGGGTCATAACTCCGAAACCGGAAGTGGTAGACTAACGCCACCTGGTCTATGTTACTCCCCGGTCCGAGCTACCCCTATACCCCAAATTTCAGACTCGGGGCAGACCTAGTGTAGCCGCCAACCCCGAACAGACTGGCTTCGCTCGGGGGTCATAACTCCGAAACCGGAAGTGGTAGACTAACGCCACCTGGCCTATGTTACTCCCCGGTCCGAGCTACCCCTATACCCCAAATTTCAGACTCGGGGCAGACCTAGTGTAGCCGCCAACCCCGAACAGACAGACTTCGCTCGGGGGTCATAACTCCGAAACCGGAAGTGGTAGACTAACGCCACCTGGCCTATGTTACTCCCCGGTCCGAGCTACCCCTTTACCCCAAATTTCAGACTCGGGCCAGACCTAGTGTCGCCGCCAACCCCAAACAGACCGGCTTCGCTCGGGGGTCATAACTCCGAAACCGGAAGTGGTAGACTAAAGCCACCTGGCCTATGTTACTCCCCGGTCCGAGCTACCCCTATACCCCAAATTTCAGACTCGGGGCAGATGTAGCCGCCTACCCCGAACAGACAGACTTCGCTCGGGGGTCATAACTCCGAAACCGGAAGTGGTAGACTAACCCCAAATTTCAGACTCGGGGCAGATGTAGCCGCCAACCCCGAACAGACAGACTTCGCTCGGGGGTCATAACTCCGAAACCGGAAGTGGTAGACTAACGCCACTTGGCCTATGCTACTCCCCGGTCCGAGCTACCCCTATACCCCAAATTTCAGACTCGGGGCAGACCTAGTGTAGCCGCCAACCCCGAACAGACCGGCTTCGCTCGGGGGTCATAACTCCGAAACCGGAAGTGGTAGACTAACGCCACCTGGCCTATGTTACTCCCCGGTCCGAGCTAACTCTATACATCAAATTTCAGACTCGGGGCAGACCTAGTGTAGCCGCCAACCACGAACAGGCAGACAGACAGGCAGACAAACGACAGTCAAAAATATATATATAATAATAATAGAAGATACAAATTATTTTCATAAGGAAGTGTGGGAATTAATTGGAGAGCTCATAGAATGACTACACAAAATTGTTATGCACTTGAAGCCAGCGTTTATCATAAACACTTGGCATCAATTCACACCAATCTGATTAAAATTATTCGATATATGGCCGTTTATGAGTCGAATTCATTCGGCTGTTTGGTTTGGGGTGGGGTGGGGTTAAAAATTGATGACTAGGTTAAGTCGTTGTTCAGTTTTACATACATAGCTTAAAACCCTTTCAGGTCCGATGGGATTACCATGTCCCATATAGTATAGTAAATACAATGTTGCAAAGTATATGTGCATTATGGTCAGTATTACATATAGGTCAATTTTAGGTCGGTCTAAGGCAAATATTCGTTGATGACCGTCCATTATCTTATTGGTAATGATAACTTTGGCTGAATTTTGCGGCGTGCTTACGTTAGTGTGTTTATATTGTGATTTATATATTTATACCGGGATATCTGCTTTGACAAGAAATAAAATTAGTGTATATGATGGTGTGTTTATTCTTTTATTAATTAACCGCTTTGTACTGAACTAAGCACCATTACAAATTTACACTGGAATCATAGACTGGTCGGTCTTCAGATATTGCCCAGGGAAATTCCCAAATTAAACACAGGCGGGAGATAAAACATAAAGTATGGTATCGGTTGACCCGGATGAACTTACTTATTACATGGATTCATAATTTTGGACGATGTTAAAAAGCGACACTGAAGTTACGATAAACGAAGTCTTCCGGGATATTTACGAATTAGAGCATCCATAACTAGTGGTGATAACAAAGACTAAAATTGATTTTTGTTTTTGACTAGATTCCTTAATTCTGTACATAAAGATACAAGATGACAGGAGACTGGTGATAGCTGCCTCTACATCAAACTACAGACAGGTCTTGTGTTCGATCTGCCAACAGAAGTTAGGGGGTTGGATGGCTGAATGGTTAGCACGTGCGCGCTGTATCATAAAGTCTGTCATTGAGGCAACTGGCGGGGTTTCGATTCCCCGGTTGTATGTGACAAGGAGTAGGGTCGCCTGTCCAACCTCGTGGGTTTTCTCCGGGACCTCCGGTTTCCTCCCACTGCTAAAGACCCCTACGCACAAGTAAACTATGGAAATAAAATTGAACCATATGTTAGTCCCGAAATGACCTAGTTTGTGTCGAGTGGACGTTAAACCCCATTTCTCTCTCTCTTTCTCGCCAACAGAAGTTGTAGTTGGTGAGATAAGTTTTTATTGCGGGGAAAAGAACAACAAACGATACACTGTGTTCATGTGTGTCTTAAAAAAGTTTTATTTTCAAACGTCTGTACACCGTGCTATAATTCAATATACACTATTCAGCAACTAATGTCATATGATGTCACTCGTCAATTGTTAGGTGATTTTGGTCGCATTTGTAAAGAAGCCATTCTTACCATGGTTATTTGTCGACCAGCACAGCGCTACCTGTCGATAATAATATCAAAGAGATATGAAATGCCGTGAATAGTTGAGGGCATTTACAGCGATTTGACAAGCGGATAGACACTGAAAAGACAGACCCCGTTATTATAATGAAAACATTTACAATTTGACGCCAATAACAGAAGTTGTGTTCGGATAAACACGAGAAAGTACTTATGCGACTGCGCCCATCGGTGCGTCCAAATTTGCTCGTGAACACTCTATACACTACAATTCTTGTCGGATTTGTCATTTGGTCATAAGGAGGAACCTTATCGAAATTTCAAAGTTATCGTTTACGTTTATGGCTTTGAAATTCTACAGATCGTAAATTTCGAACATGTTTTGTGGAGTTATCATTCCGATTATATTTCAACCACCCAGAAGCTTGTGAAAGCAATACGGGACAAAGTGTACGATGGAATGTTCATTTGTGCCCCATTAAAATTCGGAGTTTATTCGGCGCAGAAAGAGATTTCGACATAATTAAGATCGCTTATTATAGTATAAGAAATAGTCATATCGAATTTCAAATTTAAAACTCTTCTGCCCAGTCTTTACACTAGCAACTCTGTGAATAAATAATCAGCTAATATCGCAAATGTTAAGTAGTTAGTATGATCATAGGATTTCAGAAACAAAGATTACAGCATAATCACCGACACAATTTTAAAATGCAAAAGAGCACATTTTTAAAATACACATATATGTTAATGTATTTTTTTAAAAACTCATGAGCGGTGAAAACAGTAAACGTCAAGATGAGAGTTTGTATCATGATCGTTTTAAAATGATTTGGCCATAAAAAGTTTTACATATTTTAACGCAGATGTCACGTCCGCTTACTTAATGAATTGATGTAACACCAAACACCAAAGTTCAAATTTATTGGTTGGCTTACATTGATCTACTAGTCTACCACTGTAGAAACGCAGAGAATAATAGAGGGTGGTTTAATATGGACTTACCGACAATAATAACAGATGCAAATGATGGATTCAAGATTGCAGGAAATAAACGACATTAAATATCTCTGGAATGAAAATGGCTGATTTATTTTGATGTATGAATACGTGAAGAGGTCAATAACTTCAATATAGGGGTCAGATATTTTTCTCCTCTTGTTATTTATGACGAAACTGAATGAACAATGATCTACATGCGAGAAGAAAATGAATCCAATGATTATTTCGGATGAAAATGTTTCCATTACGAAAATAGAAATGATTTTATAGACTAGCTACACATTTTGTCGGAATCACTTTATTAAACGAACAACGGAGACATTGATTTATAGCGATGTTCGTGATATACGTTATTGACATTGAAGACCAGTCAGCCACCTATAGAATCCCACCAACTCGTCCAGACGGCAAGATATCAAAACTCGGTTGGTCCCCCCGGACGACTGTCTAACCTCGGTCCGTACGAGGTCGTAAAAGATGAAAACTGCAATGAATATTAAATAGCACTATTATCTGATAAAGTGTTATTCGTGTTACGAGGTTATTTCATTATTTACATAACACAATTATAACTTATCAAAGTTTTAAAATTATTCAGGTCATGGGACATCAAATATTGCATGTTACAGATGAATATTTATCTGGTTGAATTCATATGAATTTGTGAGTATGTAAAAAAAATTATCATTTTTACTCGGAACACACGCAGTCTGGCTTTTATTATAATCATTTCTAAGAACGGTATGGAGAAAGCCAAACAGTTTTTCTGATATAACTGCAGTTATTATGAATTCAGTCAGTTATCATGACAACCAAAGAAGTATTGCCACTGGTATAGTTAATTATCTAAATAAAAGAGAAAATGTGTTTGTTTGTTTGTTGGCCATATGAAGCCAAACGGCTGAACGTATATATTTGAAAACATTATAATTGAGAGGGAGATGGGGTTTAACGTCCACTAGACTGACAAATGGTTCAATTGTATTTCAATAATTAGCAGTGGGCTGAAACCTAAGGACCCGTAAAAAAACCCACACGAGGTTGGATAGTAGACCCTACTCCTTGTCACGTACAAGCTGGGAATCGAAACCACACACCCCCTTTCTTTATTATAGCCATTTTGGGGGGCTTTGTTGTTTTGGTGCAGTATTTAAAGTTTTATTTGATGGTTATACGTGACCATGTGGGGAGTAATAGTTTTAATTAACACGAAAGAAACAATCTCCAACATTCGGTATTGGCCAGTATAATATACAGTTACATATTTATCAGCTATATTGGCATAACTAACATTAAGTGTATAAAATGGTTATTTAATTGTAATGTAGGTCAGTTCTGTGGGTTCCAAAACTCGGCTGTAACAAATCAAGTTGGCTTTTCCAAAGATAAGACGAATATTGTAGACCTGCTGTTCCTTCTTCAATTACTTATAAGTACGTACTAAAATCCACTAAGGACACAGTTTCGTACAGTTGGAGTAGCAATATTGTTATTAATTTATCAAAACCAAACACGTTCAATTACCAGAGCTAAAACTGTTAGGGTTTCTAAATTAATATGCATATTCAACAATTAGTGTGATTAGAAGCTGATTAATGAGGGCAAATTCTTCTGGCTTGCGTATACTCACCGCTGCTTTAAAGCTTATTGTGTTGAACTGGATGTAAAAGTCCACTTAAAGCTTGTCTAAATCAAACTGTGAACAAAATACTCTTCTATAATTTTCACAGTTTTCCGATTTTTAATGGGCTGTCATCATAATTAGAATAGTATGTCTGAGATAATAAAAGGAGCTAAAATAACAAAAAAAATTATACCATGTGGACTTTTATTCTCCAAACCATTTATATTACGTGTGTGTGTGTGTGTGTGTGTGTGTGTGTGTGTTTTTTGTATTTTACGTCCACTTCCACCGAGGTGATATGTGAAGTTTTGTCGTATTATAACATCAAGTATGTTTCGAACTTTATTTTCTTGCAGGGAGACAAAAGAATATTGGCTGTCGTGATGCTAAAATATCATACCTACTCGATAGAGTGAGTTATTTTGATTAGTTTTGTTATGCCTAATTGCATTTTTTCGTGAAACTGATTGAAGGGAATAAGAAGAAAATTGCCATTATTTAAATTAAACAAAAATAAGGTCTGAAGAGTATGATTATTTAGAAAGTAAAGTAATTATAAAGATTAAAAAAAAGAATATGTTATAAAATATTGTTAATAGAAATCACAGGCGTGAAGTCAACAGAAACTTAAGTAAATTTTAAAAGGATGTTAGGATCAATTGATTTTTAAACACAGAACGATATTTGTAGTTCCACTTTTGATTGTGTGTGGTTTTAAATTTCGTTTGCCTTTTATTCTGGTTTGTTTCCCCCTTATAATAAAGCTTTTTAAACAATTTTCGAATCTGGCATATCGAAATTTGTACTTAAATTTATCATGTACTTGTTATGTTAGTCACGTTGCTTCTTCTTTTCCTTTTTCAATTTCAGTGGATCCTTTCAGTTAAGTGACTGAACACATTGTCTCTTCACTTATAAAATCAGCAGCGTAAACATTTCCATTAGACATCATACCCACTTTATTAACCGTTTGCCTGAATAAAACTATTGCCAGTATCAGTAATATAAATGAGTAAGTTTGAATTAGCGAACGTCACACCTGTACACAGATTTATCGCTTCCGGGCGTAATCTCTTAAACATACATTATGGAAGAGCTAAATCTGCCTATTGCAGGCCTAAATTATTAATTAGACATTAAGTAAATTATCCAGATCATAATCAACTCTCGATGTCATCGCTAGATTGCGATGTTTATTGGATTAGGTTCCGATTTGCTGTTTGACTTCCATTCATGATTTAATCATGAAATGGATAATCGAGACTATGTTTTTTTATCGTCCCGACTTTAGTAATGATGATCGAGGCTAGGCCGAAAATTCAATCGCTAAAATCTCGGTTCAGAGTGGATCAATTTGACTGAAATTTTCCGCAAATTCCCTTTACATTATCTAGTTTTTAACTATTACAGTGAGAACTGCCAGCTCTTTATCTTATCTCCCATAATGTATCTTTAAACTCATTGATAAATATTGCAGAGTGCAAAACTCTATAGCCAGAATTATTGTTGATACTAAAACATTAAGAGGTATGACCACGTTACATCTGTACTTTATAGATTACATTGGTTACTTATTGTTTTAAGACTGTCCGGAAAACAGGGCGATCACTTCTGTTGGCTAATATGGAGGCAGGCGACCAAATATTCTAACAATGACTTTAATTAGTGTCGATTCTTCACTTCACTCCACATTTTATTTGAGCTGAACGGTCTCCAGCTCTCCACAGCAGACGGAGCATCACCTGACAAAATCTTGAACCAAAGCATGAATGAGATTGAACTTGCAAATATGGAGATACACCGTTTCAACTAGTATCTTAGTAAGCAGGTAACTATCCGCTGTAACCTCCCGCCCCTAACCAAAATATTGCAGAACATCGCAATTGAAACCCTGTTCTTAGATTCTAGACCGAAAAAGTCAACAAAATGGCCGTTGGACATAAAGCAAGAATTGATGATCTTCCATTGAATTTAGGTATAATGTGTTTTGTATCAGATTTTCCGCCTATCTTCTTCATTTTCCAAGTGCCAAGGGAAGCCTATGTTCACTGTCAGTATTTACGTTAAAGGCCATTTGTAAGCCCACGTTTCTTACCACTCCCGGGAAATCTAATATGTCATTATGTCTGTAATTTTTATTTCTCCTGAGGAAAAATATAAATATTTTAATTTACCTAAAAGACTAAACGTGACCTACTGAAATTATAAGTAAGTTGCTGATTTATTATATTGTTTATCTCTTAGACTTTAATACTATTGCTTTACTGTTTGGATTAACTTATTCTTATGAGCACAAGACATTGGCGGTCATCATTATACATAGATCTGATTATACTTTCTGTGTTGGAATTCTAGCGACCCCCTTTAGTGATTGGTTCTCCATGAGTAAAAGGTGTGTGCAGATGAAATTCAAGAGTAATGATTATCTTTTGAGAATCCAGTAACTTCTTATCTTTGACCCGAACAATGAAAATTGACCTTTCAGAGATATTGAAGTGGATTTATTGAACAAATACTACAAGTATTGATTTGATTGACTGGAGATAAAAGATTATTTTATTGTAAGAGCAATGACAATAAACCTTTGTTACCAATATACCACAAGGAAACGTTGTAATAGAAGTGATAAACCGCTGTAATTAAATTTGTGCTCCAGGCCACCGTTTACAATTTACCGGTCAATTCTTGTAATGTAACTTGGGAGATTTAATATATAAAGATCATTTAAAACGCTGACAATTTGCTCAAGAGGCGTCAACTAAAAGCTCTTTAAAGATAAAACCGTCGTTCTATTTCCATCCTATAATTCAACGTTATCATAAGATTTACTAGTTATTGTCACGGAGAAAAACCTTTGATGATTTCATCTGAAACTGGACATGGGTCATCTTCGATCAACGATAATTGTGAGCTTTATAGAAGAACAATCATCTTCTCACCAGGGCTTTAATCTTATATAATTCAGTGGTTGTTCTGCATAAATTGTTTTAGTCAAACCTAATGAAAATATATTAATTCCTTATCAGTGATTTGTTTTGGATTGTGTAATCTTCAAATAAAATTCAATATATTCGAATTTAATTATGAACTAGTGTTTTGTTAACCAACTTCTATTTTCTGATTTTTTTCTCTTTTATTTTTATTAAAAGGCTTTATTTTTCTAAATATGAAATTATATTCTCGCCATACAACGCGACTGACAAAATCAATATTTATATGCTTGGCTCTGCCACTTTAAACGTTAACGGTAAAAGATAATGCCCTCTGGTCAAGCCAAGTAGCAGTTGATGTTCTCGTATTATCTGCATGGAATAATTCAAGGGTCTACTTAATGATTTTTATAACTACCTACTTGAGATTAGAAATCACGGTGAAAACATACTCTCACGTTACAGTGGTCTGATAAAACTGTGTACAACAATCAATATTACACTTATAATAATTAATAACGCGAATTAAAACAGATGAGTTCACACTATACAACAGATCACGTTTCCATTCCAACCAACATCCATTATTACATCTACAGCAGAATAATCACTCTAAAATTCCAAATTATCCTTAAACGAAGATAAAGCAGCGTAAACAAGCATTACACAATGTTTGATGTCTGAACGATATCCTAGTCCAGACATATTCCTCTTAAGATCATCATTACGAGAGTTCGTTATAGAGGTGTATGTGAGTAAATAATGATGACGTGTTCTTATATTAACAGATATAAAATCTTGAGAGGTTTTTACTAGACGTATTATCTATGAAGTAGGATTATTGTCGATATCAAATTCTAATATCAGTCCATCAAATCATCATCATCCATATAAGGTATAAAACTCACTTCTATATTGACTGTGCAACCACTGAATCAAATTGTGTCTACGCATAAAGTTCCAATCTTACAATATTGTGTTATTATGCTTAATGGCGTAGTATGCCTAATGGATATATATTTCCCGTATTCTATATTTTTACGCTTAAGTTCCTTGTTCGCCATGATTTAATAAGACATAACTTTAATTAAATTAAATTGACGATCGCAAATTTAATAAATTGTTAAAAACAAAACTTTGTTCAATACATCTGTGTTATTTAGCTATGGCTAATATTATGAAAACGATGTTCAGTGGTCGCCATAATAGTTGTATGGAAATCCTGGTTGGCAAATGACAAAAGGGTAAAAAGAGGTGCAAATGTTTATTACAACACTTGATAATCAGTTAAAACCTCACGATCAATAGTCTTGGGGGGAAAACGAGTCAAGATGATAAAATTAACCCTCCTAGCCCGAAAAATACTTTTAGCGATAAACGACACTGATTTCACTAGAAAACAAAGTTTGATCCATATCAAATGTTTCCACACAGCTACATCACGAACACAGCGTTGTAAATTCAATTCAGAGCAAGTCGCAGTAGATTGCCATTGGAACTAGCCTCCGAACTGAAGAACATTAGCTACTGTTAGAATTGATTCTTCTTATCGGAATTTATTTCGTATTAGATCTTACGTGAGAATTAAACAAATAAATAGGAAGTGATTTCTTGGTTGGCGTATCTCTGTATATTTCTCAACCTAATCAAATGACTTCACGCCGTGAGTAATATTCTACTGTGATGGGAATATCTGGTTTCCGCTGCCTCAAGTGCCGATCAGAAAATTGCTCCTAAGAATTTGAACTTCCATTCTGCAAATTGCCTTCAGATCAGTCAATACAAATAGATTGAATAGGTCATTTTATTTCTGGAAACAAACAAATATTTTATTTTATATAATTGATACGCTATAGTCTTAACAGTAACTTAACGAATTCCGGCGTCCCCCCCCCTTTTGCAAAGAAACCTTGTTAACACTCCTAGGCCAACACTTATCACCCAATCTCTTTGTTATTAAACTGTACAGATTCCAGACATTAACGAATGATCATCAACCCATCTTTCTGAGGAATAAGTCCGTGACTTCTGTGGTTAACTTTCGGGCTTAAGGGAAACGCTGACCGTGTTTATGTTTGTAAAGGATGCCTGGATATATTAAAGGAATATGTACCTAAAAATTATGCTTCTTTGTATCGAAACCGTGTTGTACCCCGCCTTTCGAAGAAAGCAGGGGACTATTAAAATAGGTCTGTTCGTCTGTCTGTCCGTCACACTTTTTGGGACACAATAACTCTCCTAATTGAGGTAGAATGTTTAAACCTGGTGTAGGTGTTTATTAGGTCAATGCCTTAATGGAGTTCGAAGAAGAACATTTTCTGCTTAGGGTAAGCAGGGATAAGCAATGTGATTGGTTGATGCTTTGAGACACGATATCTAAGTGACAGTGATGAAACGTATGGTGTATAGTTTCATTATATCAATACCTTGACTAAGTTCGATAATGAGCATTTTCGGCTCAGGTAAGCGGAGCGATAAGCAATTTGATTGATCGAGACTTTGGAGCTCGATAACTTTGATTTTACTTGAGTGAGATTGGTGAAACTTTGTGTATAGTTTCTTTACATCAATACCTTGAATAGCTTCGAGTGCATTTTCTGATTGGTCGAGACTTTGGAACACAATAACTCTCTTTCTAATTGGAGTAGGGTGTTCAAACTTGGGGTAGACGTTTATTAGGCGAATTTTCTGCTAAGGCTGAATAGAGATAAGCAATTTGATTGGTCAAGACTTTGGAACATAACAACTCTGCTTTTAATTGCAGTAGAATGTTAAAACATGGTGTAGATGTTCATTAGGTGAATGTCGTGACTGAGTTCTATGATTAACAATTTCATTGATCGTGCTTTGGGACAAAATAACTTTGATTCTAACTGATGGAGAGTGATGACCAGGTACTTCAAAACCTTGACTGAGTTCGATCATGAACATCTTCTGCTCCTACTTATATTAGACAATCAGTTTGATTGCTCGATACTTTTCAAAAATATAAATGTGCAATTAATTATAGTATGTGTCATCTATTTATTTTGGGATGTCGACGGGGAACATTAGCCTCACCGATGGCTTGTTAACTTTGTAGTAGGCCACAATCATCATTTGACGTTTTTATATTATATAGTTTGTCCATATACGAAGGGAACCCTATTGATTTTCAACCATTTCCAGTGTTAACGTTCAGAGATAGGACCATTTGTCATCACTAGCTGTCATCACCATAATTAAGAGCTTTTGATGAGTCCACATTGTAATGTGATCGTACATTGCGTCACCCCTGAGACAAAAATTATCATTTCGAAATGTGTATGGGTTGTTGGGATATTGGGTTTTCTCAATTTTAGAGGTTACAATTATAATTCAACCTTTATGAAAATATGTCATAATAAAAAAAAAGCCAGCAATATGGTAACAAATGTCTATTTGGAAATATGTAGGCATATGTTCTATTCTTGACAACTAATGTATAGGAATAGGCTTCTACCATATCGATATGGTTAGGTCGTGTTACCTTCTACACAATTAATTAAAGACACATTATGAAAGATTAGATAAAGAACTGGGAGTTCCCACTATACTAGTTAAAAACTAGATGTTGTAAATGGATTGTGCTGAAGATTTCAGTCATATTGCTTCACTCTTAGCCGAAAAAAAAATTATTTTAAAATATCTGTCGCGATAATTAACAAAGTCTCGATTATCCATGTTTGCGTTTAATGTTTAACAGCAGATCGAATTCAAATCCAATGAAAATCAGACAGATAAGATGGCATCGAGAGTTGATAATGGTCTTTTTATGTTAATAAATGTCTAATTGATAGTCTACATAACATTTCAGGCCTAAGGAAAGACCTACAATAGGCGGATTTACCACTTGTATGATGCATGTTTAAGTTATTTGTATTTCGTTTTCCATGTTATCACAGAAAAAGCAGATTTGAATCAAACTAAATATTTCTCACGAGTAACACCAGACATCACAGGGCATCGTCATCGTCTCAGACGTTTTGTTAACTGGTGATATGTCGCAAATAATATTGATTAATTGTATCTGAATGTTTCAACATGTGGTTCAAATTTAATAAGCACAGATTTCTAATGAACAATAAAACACAACTCGTTCAAGAGAAAATCAGTGGGGAAAACAATAATAATGGATATTGTCTAGACAAACGCTTCTATGTCCATTGTTGTTAACACTTAAAGGACAATGTTGTGATCCACCAATTTTACATTTGTGATAGATCTTTGCTATAGTTGATATCTATAGCGTCTACGCGCAACTTCGGATGTTATGCAAATTAAGGAGACCAGTTATCGTTCTTTTTTCTTTCTGGACCTGTGGTTCACTAGACAAAACTGCGCAAACTCAAATACCTTGAAATCATTTTCTCGTGGCATCCTTACCCCTTACCAATTGCAAAAACAAATGTTTTGGTTGGGGAAGTCATATCTTCAGATCCTTTGTGGTCTATATTTATTATATCCTTTTAAAAACAAAAAAATAATATATAACCATTCAAAACAGCTCAATAAACGATAAATAAACCCCGTATTAATGTGTGGTTTGAGAATTTTTTATTTCTAAATATTCTGACATAATGTTATATGAATACAATATACATAATTCAGTTGTTTTGATCTCAAATTATCTCCATGGTGTGCTTGGTGGTTTGGGAGCCTTCTTTAAAATTTATCATACATCAACTGTTAGTGAATTGGAATGAGCATTCGTAGATCATTGCAAAGTCGCCTATCGTTGGTGCTGTCATGGGCGTTAAAAGATTTGGACGGCCATAGATGTTTCTAACCTTGATTACCATTGATCAAGGCGCTCTAAAAGTGTTTATGTTATGTTTGTTCAATTTATGATGAAATAGTAACACCATGCATTTGTTGACTCCAAATGGGCCCAATATGAGCAACTGACCAACCAACTTGTACCGAACCGAACACTCAATATGAGCACTTGACTTCAAACATAAAACCAAATTTTCATTATGACGAATAGCAGAAAAAATGTAAAATGCGTGTACGGCGTGCCTTCTACAGGTATACTAAGAT